CCTGGGGGAAACATCTTACTGCCTTCACACTCCTGTCGCAGAGGACGGTACGACTTTACCCCCAGACCACCTCGTACCACGATTACTCGTAGTACGGGGTCTCGCTGCTCTTGGTCTGGCTGCTCCCCTTTGGCCTTCCTGGCATGGTTGCACCTTGTGGAACGAAGTTCCAGCCAGTGTAGCCCGCGGGATCATTGCAGCACTGAAGCCCGACCACCACGTCAAGGTGGCAGCTTTAGGTCGGGTGCTCTGTTAAACGAGGTCATTTAGCTCCTCAGTCAGTGCCTGTCTAGCCTATTTGTGTCTATCTGGCGGAAGTCGACTGTCCAAGACACCTGGGATGAGTCGATAATGGTGTCCATTTCCAAAAAGGGTACTCACAGTGAATGTACAACCACATAGATCCCAGTAGTAACAAACTTCTGGCGTCACCGATTCTTCGTCTCACGCCGGCACGCGAAATATCGACCCCTGAGAGTCAAGCGGGATTTCTACCGGGTAGAGGGGGCGCCGACTAAATCTTCATACTCCGTCAGGTGTAAGGGCAAAATTATGTGTTGTTGCTTCTTGACCCAGCCCCTATGCTCAGCAGTCTAAAAGCTTCCTTGGTTTCCAACACGGGCGTCTATTCTCTCCATTTTGCTTGTCTGACTGAGCAATTGGAAGTGTAGGCTTTTGACGGGCCAGAACTCACTCACTCTCTTCTCTTGGATTAACCCAAATCACAAGTGGTTAATGACATCGGCAAAAATGGCCCAGTCGCGCAGTCGATGGGGCTCATGCATCGAAGCTATCGCCTTCAGTGAGTAGCTACCCAGGTTCCAAACCAGTCAAATATGTCATCGCCTCCAAGGGTTCGCTGTGTCCCACGCTCTTCCATTTGCCGGNGTAGTAGCTGAACCATTGTGCCAATGGTACACGGTTTATGGCTGATAGATTGAACTTTGTTCCACTTCAGAGCTTTAAGTATGTTTAAATAACCTATGTGGTTACGTGGAAGTAAAGCATCAGTGTCAACACTGATCTTGTTGTCTTTGATGACTGATGATGATGGATGCATCGAACAGTAGCCGATAAGCCACATGTTCGACAACCGCAAAACACAGGCGTGTGCTCCCGGTGGAGGGACACACGCGAAATAAAACGTTGCGTTACTGAAATTACCGATGAGTAGTATAAAATATTTCCAAATGTGCGGCAGAATACAAGCGCGTCGCTGGAGCAAACAATAGGTCTACTTACGGCTCACATAAAGCTAGCTAACAGAAATCCCGTTGGTTATCGCTAATGCACCTGATGGCTTTTAGATGTATCCGTTTTTTCACCAAAATCAGCACGGTTGAGGTCTGCAAGGAAGGTGTTTAGGACAGTTCGACCACTTTGCGTTGGTTATGTAGATCACAAACTGGGAACGGGAAAACGTCACCACCAAATTGCCGTAGAGCAACTTGCCGAATGGATTCAAGGTCGTGGTTAAATTACTCGGCATAGATCAAGTGTCAGTATGGTGTGAACAGGGGTGGTCGCGCTTCCCAGAAGCGGTTGCTTGAAGTATATTCCAGATTAGAGTCTCAGGCGATGAGTCACGCTGTAGCACACGAGAACCCACATACTTCAGTGGTAATAGGCTGGCTTCGGCCTATGTATACATTTCCACAGCATTGTACAAATGAGGCGTTGCCAAATGTCTGGCGAAACGGGGTCATTAGATACCTACAAATTACATCACATGCAGAAACTGACGTTCATATGAAGAGTTCTGATAGAAACAGACAGAAACAGGTTTTTCTGGAGGAGCGGGATGGCTCAGTGGTTGGGACGCGGATTTACTGACCGGAAGGTTCGAACCTGACCTCAGCGTCTCGACTTCTCCTGTCTAGGCTTGGGGCAACTTGGCAGTATCCCAGTCCTTCTGGTGGCATGGCGGTTAGGCACTGAGAGGGTGCTACAGCTGAACGAAGGTTTTTTGAAATAACCAGGAGGAAAGCAAAAGCTTCGCTCAAAGGGCTGGTGGTTAAGAATCTATCTCCGTAATGACTGTTTGTTCACCCAGGATATGATGCCGATCCACGACTCCGGTGCGATGATACATTTGTTTGTTGGCGAACGCTCTGCAGGCTATGTGGTTCGGACGACTGGATGCCTATCTCAGGGAATTACTGACAGACAGACTCGTACAAAGTGAATTCAGTTTGCCGATAGGTGACAATCACTGGAGACAGCTCATTAAATCATTTATCATGATACATCAAGTGTCATCAAAAAATTTCAAGGTCACCAGATAAAACGACCTATCCAGAATAGTGTCATCGAAAATGTCGCATGAAACTATTGATCTCATCCGCTTGATCGATCAAACACTGTTTTTAGCGAAAACCCGATCGACCAACTTAAATGACGTCTTTTTTCAAAGTACATCTGACCACCGAATCAGTTTTTGTGAAAGTATGATTATCACGTATCTCATTCATAACAGTATTGGCCAACCCAGACTTTATCGAAAACAGTTGCCCGCAAAAGCATTGAAAGGTTCAACTAAATACTGATTAGCTTTACGGGATTTCGCCCACAATGGAACTCAGCAAACGATTGGTGGCGCTCCGTCTGCCTAAGAAAATTGTATTGGCGCCAGTTATCGACATCGAGGCGGACTCAAATCATGCTCCTCGATAAAACCTAAATAACAGGGAAATAACAGTGCATGCCAGCCAACGGAACCACGAGGACTGGGATACCACCAGGTTGTCCAAGACTAGATACGAGTAGACGAGGTTCGGAGGTTGGTTGCGAACTACGGACCTTCCTGTCAGCAAGTTCTTCCTTTAACTACTGAGCTATCTGCATGGATACATTAATGTTTCGAATAGACCAGATACTGAACTGTTACAGAAACCGCTGATGAGTCAGAAGAAAAGTTCCATTCAGAGATTACTCAAACCAGGAGAGGAGAAATAGAGCGCAATGGAATTTCAAGAGAAAAGAAATCGCTTATATCAGGTGATACAAAACATGGGATATCCGGAAAAATTCAGCAAAGTATAGAGAAGTGGATATTTCTAGGGCAACCACAACAAAAAGAACAGATAAGTGTACAGGTAGTTCCATTTCCACTGTCAGTCAACAGCATACGTGGACTGGTCACACAGCATCATGGTACCAGACAAATCAGCCATCGTGAGGGAGATAGTTTCGGGAGCTACCGTAAATTCAAATTAAATCAGAAAACACGTAGCTAAATGCACGGGTGTACGGTGTACGTGCGGCCAAACCGGTCCGCTTTGTAACGGGTAAGCAAGCTCCTGAGTCACGTGCCCAGTCCTCCCACAGGCAGTTATCTGATGTATTGAATGACAGACACGCACGCGTGCAAACCAATCGGACACGCATCCAATCAGCCACCAGGGTCACATGCTAGACCGGGTGGCGGATCGACGTACGCACACACGCACGCACAACTCACTGACACATCGAACCGGCTACTGCAGGGGCGAAGGATCACGTCAAGGGAAAAGACCCAGAAGAACCGGAAAACTTTAGAAACGGATGGATGAACAGGAGGCAGCCAAAAAAGGAGACGGACCACAGTCCTTGATTTGGCACAAGAAGGCCAGGAAGATCATCGATTCAACTAAGAAAAAGTGAAGACCCTGGGAAGCAAAAATGAATGAGGGAGACATAGCATACAAGAAGTGGCCAATATACACACTCCTGAAGGCCAGAGTTAATAGAACCAACCAGATAATCTATATGGTAAGAAGCACCAAAGGACTTATCGGCTGGCAGGATCAACCGTGAAAGAGAGATTAACTGGTCAGGTAAGTCAAATTAGGAGGCCATCCGATCAATGGGAGCAGGAGATGACCAACCATGCTGACCATCTAAATGATGAACAATGACTGCTGGCCATCCCTCGGCAAAGTCGTAACGTTGCCTAACGGCTACACACCGACGTACCGCCACATTACCGTGTGGCCTGAACATGTCAGCTCGACTGGTGACGAAACGATTGCAACGAAATTGCCGAGCTCAAAGGACACGACCATCATTTTAACCCGTTCATCTTAACAATAAATGCAATAAAAAATAGTTCTGTGGTGAGAACGAGAGGAAGCAAACAATCTGCTCCCGCGACTTGGAGGTATTTCATCAAAAGAAACAGGAAAACAGCACTCACCTCAACGCCGCCGTTAGATGACGATTTCGCATTCGTCCGTGGCTGACGCGCGTACTTTCGGTAGAAGATCATTGCCCCGCGAGGACCACGCAGCGTCTTGTGAGTAGTAGTCGTTACAACGTCACAGTAATCAAACGGAGATGGGTGCAAGCCGGCGGCGACGAGACCAGAAATATGCGCCTGAGTGAGGGAGAGGATGAGGTTTGATATCGATAGATTGGTATTACAGAGCGATTATATGGGCAAAACCGTAGGGAGCGAAATGTGTAAGTGCCAGAGGAACTATGGCGGTTGTTGTATTCATAGTGGAACCAAAAGACTTGAACGGAAATGAGTAAAATTAGGCTTATCATGTATGTCGTGTAAATGTTCTTGATGGAAGGGCAGATTTGGCTACGTGATGGCATCTGACCCAACAGAAATTAATAGTGGGTGTTAGAAGAAACAACCGAGGCGACATAGTTCAGTGGTTGGAGTGCGGATTTACTGACCTGAAGATCCGTGGTTCGAACCCGACCTCTGCCTCCCGACTTCCCCTGTCTAGGCTTGGGCAACCTGGTAGTATCCCAGCCCTCGTGCTTCCTTCGGGTGGCATGACAGTTAGGCACCAAAAGGGTGTTACAGCTGAACGAAGAAACAACCGTACGACTTCAGACCGAGGATCAATAACCGTGTAAACTGACCAAGTACAGTACGGACTTGTCGAATATGGGTATTATTACCGACTGCGACAGGGCTGGTAGGCGACGAGCGTTCCTAGTTCAAATCCAGAGCGAAACACGTAACCACGTTGAGGAACTAGACCTGGGAGTGTGCGGACAAGATGGACGATGTACACACCTGAGAAGTTGTCCATTGGAACACAATTTAAGGCAACCTGAGCATCCGCAACGTCAAAGATGACCGGAAAACCGGTTTGGTTGCGAAGAACATCAGCACAGCCGCTTGGTTATGCGCTGAGCGCGGTGAACTACGGTCTGCCGATAAGAATATCTGCAGGTGGGTTAGGTAAGGTATATTAGAAGGCAATGAACCAGACTAAAAAGCCAGGATGATGTAGTTGTGATGTTTTCTAGAATAAGGTACAAATAACAACCTATGTTTCGTTCGGAATGCTGAGAGTTATGGTGTCGCGAACAGATTCGGACCACACGGGCGAAGCAAGCGAGCGTATTGGGCCGTTTATCAAATCCCCGTTTGTTTTCTGATCCACTGAGGAACTCCATCAGAATTATCGTTCAGCTGTAGCAACCTTTCGGTGCCTAGATGCTATGCCACATGAAGGAGGCACGAGGGCTAGGATACTGCCAGGTTGCCCAAGCCTAGAGAGAGGCGAAGGTCGGGTTCGAACCACGGACCTTCCGGTCAGTAAATTCCCGCTCTAACCACTTGGTCCGTCTCGCCCTCCCCCATCCGAATTAACCGACATGTTTATGCGTCAGCTAAAAGGTAGTTGACATCAGCAGCGAATAGAGCTACAGTAGTAACCTTTAACTTCATACTCGAGAGAAGACCGATAGTACCCGGCATAAATACTCTCAGCAATGGTAAAAGACGATAAGGTGCTCTGCCAGAAACCGCCTATATCAGACCGTTCGCTGAATACTGGCAAAAACATGGACCTGTGGGGTTTGGACGCGGTTTGCCAAACGAATGGTCTATCAAATCACTTCAATCAGTATTCTGAGTGAGCGCGTTGAAGTTCTTTAGGAACCACCAGGCTAACTGTGGATAGCCGTGGATCAGTAGTCATCATTCACAGGTGGTCAGGTTCCCAAAAGGGCTAGTGCAGATCAGCTAGTTCAATCATGTACGTCAAGAACACAAGCGAGATACGGGGCGATAACGCCTATGTCTGAGATTGAGTGTAGGTTCTGGACTTGAACATCAGCTGATCAATTCGCCACAACAATACGTAGGGACAAGTTTGTTTTATCCCGAGCTAGGCAGGAGAGGAAGATTGCTTGAGAATATCACAAGGACGACCGATTCATCAGCTAACTGAATGGCGAATTCAGCCAATCTGACGAAATCTATCATAGCCAGCCAGGATATACGGAACATTCACTGGAGTGATCCAAGGCAGATTGAGGTGGATGTGAGACAGTGGCCATGTAACACACACTCGGTGATAGCTTTCGTCTTCCAATGTGCAGATCTAGCACTGCAGTAAGACACTGCACGTGGGAACAAATAGGATGCAGTCACGATTGTCTGTCACCAACCTACCATATCGGCCATGAGGACTGCCGAGACTGAGTCGGCGATCCGACGGAATCGTTCATAGTCCAGCTGACGCGAATAAGCGCTGGTACCAGCAATGATGACCTTCGGGCGAAACCAGCCGGCAACAAGCTCCAACTTGTCATAATCGATAAGACCAGTTTGCGGATCCACCTTGTACGCGGTGGATTCAAAGAACAGGGATGTTGCGGAAACCTGTAACGAGAAAAAGCAGCCAATCAGAGTCGAGAGGCGCAATCAACTTCAAAACCTCCGGCACATTCTTACGCTGCACTCTTACCTTTTTTCCGGAAGCTGCCTGAAAGCCATGAGTCAAGTGCCCACCATCAGGTAAGTCCAGACCCATGATGCGCCCGTGGGGCCCAGCAAGTGCGGTATAGACAGCAAAATTGGCGGGTGAACCGCTGTGTGCTTGTACGTTTACTCCCCACTCCTTCGGATCGAGGCGAAATAAATTCAGAGCACGTGCTTGGCAAATTGATTCCATGGCGTCCACAAATTCATTGCCAGCGTAATATCTTTGGAGTGGAGCAAAGGAGTAAAAGTGGCGACGGGAGTGTCTAACTATCTGCCTAGTAATGCACTACATTATGAGTACCCTGATGTTTGAGGGATAACAGCTAGAGATGAATCGAATCAAATGTCTTATGGGAAAAATTATTGACATCAAATACAATTTTACCAGTTACTATTAGATTCAATTAGATTCAATTTCAATTAACACTTCGTACAGTGGACCGACCTACGACGTTCTAAACTCAGGAGAGTACAATGGGATACCTAAAGATTGATGTCTTCTCTTCATTGTCAAGTGGAGAAGACGGACGGCTGGTCCGTATTCTCGCAAGAATGGGAATGAAAGTCAACTGAAGGAAGTAAGGGCCCCCCACCGCGAAACTCCGGTATAATCTGCTGTTAAGGAACAGCAATAAAAGGTACCGGCAAAGCTATTAATACACTGCTAGCGGTGGTTAGTTTCCCATCTATTTATTTGTTGCAGTTTTGGTTCTTGTCACATAAGTGTGGATCCATCTGGGTTTCATTCGGAAAATGTTTAATAAACCTGCTTCAAGCCTAGTGGAAACCAGCTGCGGTGCACAGCCCGATTGTCTTAGCCAGGTTCTGAACTATGAAGAGGCCCGAGGAGAAGCAAACATGGTTTGACCTTAAGGGGATCGTAGCGACAGAAAACGCATGTTCGGTTACCTAGCGGGCAGTTCGACTGAGAAATGTAGTCTCTTCCGTATACGGCATGCTGAAAACGCGGAGAGCGTGCAGTTTCCTGCGCCCAGATTAGAGTAGTGACAATCACATGGAAACGTTCACTGTAGAAGAGTTTCTTATCCACTATGCTCAATTAGCGACGCTGTATAGCGTTACTGCGGTCAACCACTAACCAAGCTGCACGACTGATGGTGATCGATCGATCGATTGGTGGAGGATGCCGTGAACAGAAATGATAAGTCAACCGAAAAGCGTCAAAGCTGATAAGTAAGAACAAAAGGAACTTTGCATTTACACCACAGGATGGGATTTAAGCGCACGTGTTACTAACCTCGCACCGATTTGTCCCTCTGAATATTTGTTGTGAAAGGACGATGATAGGGCTTGTAAAACCGCTCGACTGGCAAAATTCTCCGAAGCAATCAATTCAAGGCCGCGAACCTGCCTTTGCTTTTCCGCGTGACAGAGTTCCATTATTTCGGGATCGGAATGCGCAAGATCCATTGTCGTTTTGTCGCTGAAATAGCGGAAAACTACGGAAGTCAGTACTGCAAATCCGATGCGACTATTCGAAAACCAAGGATGATGACCGGGAGACTGAAACAATAGTTTATCCGCGATACTTTTCCAATGCGTGATTTTCATGCTGACTGTGCGAGGCTTGAAATACGGATTGTTCAATTCTGGTAAGATAGAAAAAACAAGCGCCCCCTAATGAGCACTAGTCCGCAGGAAAGCAAGTCACATGCTTTTCTCTGGTTTCAACTACAAGGAACAACCGCGCCAACAAAACAAAATCGGTTGTTGTATGCTGGTCTTCATGCAGCTTGTTTGCACGATCAACATTGCATCGGCAAAGATATTCGGCGAGTTCTGAAATGTCCTGTGGATACGAGGTGTACCGTATACTTTATGGCCTGAACGAATGAAATTACATTTGTATGTAGTTTTTGGACAGCTGTGTGAGATCAAACTTTCATTTCACTAATGTGTTTGCTCCAGATCACCCGTACATATGTGCGAACATGATGTACACACACTGACGCAACACTATGAACCCATGGGTAATGGCCGTTTGTCCCCGACATCTAGACTACTGAGAATTAGCGTTTTCTTCATTTAACACAACTGAATCGAAACCATTGAACATATGGAGACGCTAACAGTGGGTTAGATTATCGTTGGAGGCAAGTCCGGGTCAGCCAAAAAAGAGTGCACTAATGCGGCAGATTATGAAAGACTAGCGAATCCGGATCAAGAGCACAGGGTATTTCAACCGTGATACTTCCTGAACAATAAATCCGCCGTTGAAAGAAACAACTTCCTCCCCTGTTCTCGATGGTGAGTGTTTGTTTCTCGAGAGAATGCAATTGTCTGCACGGTTGGAACATTGCAGGAGGATCCTCGTGAAGTTGCTAACCAAACCGATAAATCCTATAAGCATGAAAAGCTCTCGCGAATCGTCTGTTTCTTCCACTGACTCACGGAATGCACTTGGCTGGATTGTACCACGTAGACAAATTTGTTTACCTGGGCAGCTGTATCAGTCCCGGTGGTCTCGCGAAAGATGATATTTCTATCCGGAGTGGGAAGGCCAGAGCAGCCTCTGTGAACCTACGTCATCTGTGGCATAGGCGTGACATCAGCTTCTCTGTCAAGGGTCGAGTTTACAATGCTGCGGCGCGCTCCATATTACTATATGGATCAGAAACCTGGCCGCTGCGCGCTGAGAACGTCAAAAGACTTTCAATGTTTGACCGCCGATGTCTTCGGAGAATCTGGTGGGAACACCGGATCTGCAATGCTGAAGTACGTCGAATGGTATTCGGGAGAAATAACTCACCCTCGATAGATAAACTGATCATACTGCACAGGTTGCGCTGGCTTGGCCACGTGCTGCGTATGCCAGTCGACCGAATTCCTCGAAGGGCTCTTTTCGCACAACCACGTGAAGGGTGGAAGAGAGCCAGAGGGGGTCAAGCAATGACTTGGCAGCGAAGTGTGAATACCATTACCAGCAAACTCAGCTGCGCTGGTCATTGCTGTCCTCCTGGATGGGGATCCCGACACGGCCCACATCAATAGTTAGAGACATTGTCAGACATGGCCCAGTTGCGCCCTCAATGACGCTCGTGCATCCAAGCTATTGCCTTCAATGCATGGCTACCATCCCGATCCCCCCACTTGACAGCCTGCTGACCAATTTATCAGCTCCCGCCTGCAATGCGCAACTACCTAGCCCCCCAATCATTGGTGAACGAAACTGCGGCAGCTACAACAACTGTACGACGAGTACGCGGTTCTTACAGCTGACAACCTTGTGGGGAGTTTTACGTCAGCAATCAGCCATAACAACAATACATGTTCCCTTGAAATTTTGTGGCTATTGTGTTGTAGCCCTGACTAAGTCTGGCTTTATCGACAAGTGATAAGGCAAACTAATGAAAATAATTTCAGGGTCCGCACTTCTGAGTAGACTCTGATCACCGCCAAGAACCAAGTGATGAACTCTTTGGTCCAGGTTGGTGCTTATCCGTAGTCATTTGAGGCGGCATTAAAATATTACTATTGTCCCTCAATTTATCGAAATAAAAATAGCGTTTCTGATCACAGAACGTCAAATAAAATACCAGTATTACTGGGCAGTATACACCGTAAAAGACTGACAATTCCGCTGAAAACCACATTCCGACTTGTCGCCAATGTGCTCGGACCCTGCCGCTGATCGTGCACCACGGATAGTAGCAATAAGGAAGTCGTATTTGGAACCAACCCCAGGAGAACGTTGCCGTAAGATAATTCGCAAAAGATCGTCAAGTGGGGTCATCACTTCAACCAGTCTGAATGCACGGCTTAACGCAAGAAATATGCGTTGGCCAACGGGTAGAAAAGTACAGATTTCCAGCATGTTCCTCCGTGAATAAAGAGGATAAAGGCAATTAGGTCAACACTGTACTTGTAGCCTTCGTTAAGTAGACGAGCAATCACCTAGTCATTGGCTTCCAGTTAACACATGGCCGATCCTTAGACGAGAACGGACATTTTGAAAGGACTACTAGAGCTCATGCAAACCAGAAACGTTGATCCAAGGCAGAGAACAGCAAGAAGTACCCGAATTGGGGCCATTTAGGAGAATCTCCTAAACCTCTCGGCTGTAACGCCCTTCCAGTGCCTAGCTGCCATACTACCCGAAGGAAGCACGAGAGCTGGGATACTGCCAAGTTGCCCAAGCCTTGATAAGGGAAGTCGAGAGGCAGAGGTCGGGTTCGAACCACGAACATTCCGGTTAGTAACTTCGCGCTCTAACCACCTGAGCCATCCCGCCCCCATTTGGAGCATTCATCCTGACGAATAGTCACATGTCACTTCAGGGTTTACTGTCAAAGTCTGGGCTGGGGCATACTTAAAAACTTTAAACTGCCACAGTTTCGAACAAGTGTTCAACAACGAAGTATTGATTCCCACCGTTGCATTTCAAGGGGAATCATGCCGAAAAATCCGGAAATCAGTGAGGATAGTTTCCACTGAGCCAGTTGATTTCTCAGTTAACAGTGGGGGCGGTCGACTGCTACAGACAAAAAAGTGCCGTCCGAGGGAACAGCGACTGTGATGGTATGGCAACGGTATAGCAACACCTGTGTCGGCCCTTGGCTTCCTATTCTGCTCACTACGGTTTACCAAAAGGCACGGCAATTTGAGACAGCCAGTTACCTAGACAACAAAGGAAAATTAGTACCCCTATATCCATAGGGGATGTCCCACAGACTCACGCTATGGGTCTCGTGAGCGGGCGAAAATTTTCGAGGTATAAAACGCTAGATTCTGATTGGCCAATCTCATGTTTGTACGGCAGTGAAGCACTGGTGTTGAACGCTGATGTCATGCTGCCGATGATGATGATTGACCAATCAGGGCATGACATCGTTCTGTCCGTAGTCCGCATGTGGCACATCCGTCCAATCGGTGTGAGGTTCCGTTATTTGGGGCGGCAAACCTCCGGACAGAGACATCAAAATAAGTTCAAACTGTATCCTTCCTGAACACTTCAAACAACGCATCCTTTCTGGATACTTGCTTTTTTGAACAGATGCAGACCTGTCAACAAAAATAGAGCAAAATAGACCCATGTTTCGGAGCGAGGGCATAGGCGCCACAGGAAAGTCTACATGAAACTGTGTGCTTTAAAACATACGAATTTCATAAACGGATACTGCTCTTCAATCAGTCCCGGTTACTCTTCTATAAGTATCTATTTCGGGCTCGATATTGCTCTGAATTCGCTAGAAACGGAACAAATATCTAGACTCCAGTAAGCTGACACCGGAGCTCTCGGACTAAAGCTCAGGACTTTTAATCTTGTCTCGTTTGGGAAATCTTGCGAACTAAAGATGCCGAAGATTTCCGTTTTCAGGCAATTCAGAATAAAATAACCAAAAATTTTATTGAAGTGATATTCCCCTGGACGAGTTCGAACTTTGGAAGTGCTGACGAAAACTCCGATTTTTAATAAAAAGTGGAATATAACTTTTCTCACCTAGAAGTAGAGAACTCAACATCAGTCGAGATTAAACTGCCTGAAATGCTGGAAACACGCAGGACCATTTTTGAGTAAGGATACGGGCATCTTTATCACGGATATCTCAGGCCGCTTGAAACAATCTGAGTTTCAAGGTAGTCACAGAAGTACCTAAGGTACAGTGCACAACTTGCGGAAACCAGTCTCAATCAATGTACTGAAATGAATCAAACTGACAGCCACTACGTTTAGTCTTCACGCAGCAGGAAACCAGTATGACAGAGAGAATCCTTGAGCTGGGTCGACCCGAAACGGAGCTGTAAAACTTGTTCCTAACGGAACAAGAATTCACCGCACATGCTCGACTCATCTTCGCCAAGAACTGATGTCAGGAAGAAAAAATGTGGTAGCCAGCTCAAACGGCTGATACGGTGCAGGAAGTTTCCCAACACTCAGAGAAGTGCATGCGCGACTTCTCTTCACTCTTGGAGGCATTCGCATTACATTTTGTCGCCCCAACCGCAAGAGGAGTTACTTTGAAATCAAACTCCGGTCTAGGAGCTTGCATGATCAGTTGTCTGAACAGAGCGCAGAACAACTGGAGCAGACCCCAACCAATTACTGCTGGCAAGACCCCAGTCATTCGAACAGTTTAGTCCTCTTGTAACCAAGATAATAAAAACAATAGTTCAGGTGTAACACCCTTTCGGTGTTCAACTGCCATGCCACCCAAAGGATATTGTCAGGTTTCTCAAATCCAGACAGGGGAAGACGAGATGCAGGGGTCGGGTTCGAACCAAGGACCTTCTGGTCAATGAACTCGCGCTCAAATCGCTGAGCCATCTTGCACCCTGCCTCACAGAGGCAGCATACGTTAAGGAAAGAAGTGTCCGGCGTACACGAAAGAGCAGTCCCTTGTTCAGCTTATTTCAGTGTGAACAGATGAATTGGGCGTTGGGGTTTGAAGGACGATTTCGAAGTGTCTGTGGCGATGACAAGTGATTCAGCTAGCGGATCTATCAGTGCATAAAGAATGAAATTATGGTGTTGCTATCAATGGGGTGAGGAGAAGAACGGAAGT